AGAGAGAGAGAGAGAGAGAGAGAGAGAGAGAGAGAGAGAGAGAGAGAGAGAGAGAGAGAGAGAGAGAGAGAGAGAGAGAGAGAGAGTGAGAGACAATAGACGCGTGACACCCACTCGTCAGGATAGAATGTCTCGTCGGACTTGTCAGAATAGAAGGCATATTTATATTACTACTAGTCTACTACGGCATTATAGATATAGATATATATTGGGACGTCGGCAGGTTCGTTCATTCTCTCCTCCTCTCAGTTCCCCTTCCTCTCGACGTCGTGTTGATGCTAATCTGCCACGTCGGCAGGTTCTTTGTCTTCTCGACAGCCTGCTCTGCCACGTCGACGGCGTTCGTCAATCAGGCGCCGACCGCGCCAGATCAGACCTGTTTTTCCAGTGCTGACCGATCTGGATCTGCGGGCAGATCTACCAAATGCTTGTGGCTTGACAGCGACAAATGTCTGCCTACCTCAATGGCCTATCAGCTTGACGCTGTTGAAAATCAGTTGCTGTGTGACCATAATGGTCCACCTCCTGAGGGTAGGGAGTAACTATACTCTACCCCAGGAGGCTTTACTGTAAAAATGTCTTACAGTTAGCGTTCCATGGTCGCCTCTTTCTTCTTATCCATCATGCGACGCCAGGGGATGACCTTAATTACCCTCTTCATATTTCTGCCTGCATTTTGCACATACCCGGGCATTATAAGGCACTCGTTGGTGCAGCCGCCCAGTTGGAACTGTGGGATGGTGGGACGATGATTCCAGGCTATTTTCAACGTAAATGAATTTTTACGTGCGGTGCCGAATCATACTTTATTCTGGATTCTGGATTATTGACCGACTCTCGTGTGAGTGTGACAACTGTCGGGACAGGGACGCGGTGGGCCTTGGCAGTGGAATTCATCATCTATGCCATCACCATTGTATCAATCTATTGCGGCCGCCGCCGTCTGTGCCGAAGGGTGTCCAACATTTCCTCATTGTACTTATCTCTATCACCAAGATATTCGTTGTCCTTTTGTGCGCAAGGACGTTATCTGGACTGCATGATGCCACATTGTGATGAACGTCCTGCTGTTTTTTTGACATGTGGACAGCATGTCCTTTGTCAGGACTGTTTTGATTTTGATAGGATGGGATAGTCCGTGCCAGCCGTCCTGCTGAATGCTGTGCTGAAGTAGCTCTCCTTGGGTGTCCTATCCTTGTCATCCGCAGCGTGCCTGTCCTATCTGCCCGGGTGGGGTGGGGGCTCCTCTTCCCGACTGGTCAATAGAATCAAGCAGGTCAGGAGCAATACTAAGTGTAGGACAGACAAAGCTTTCGACACTACCAACAGATACGGAGTTGAAGAGAAAAGAAAAAAAATTTGAAAAAAGCCAAAAAAAAAGCCAAAAAAAAAGAAGAAAAAACAAGAAGAAGAAGAAAGTAAGMAATGGCCAGATTGCTCTTCACACGCACTCCTAAAAAAAATCCGTTTCCTTGCGAGCGTGTACACTTGCTAAAAAAACTGCGCATGCGTTCCTCTACATGTTTCAACCGGGTGGGCCCCGGTCTCATCAGGAGGCTTGCCACTTCGCCCTTGCCTTTCGGCCCGCCAGACTCTACCACCCATGAGCTAGTCATCCGGGTCAAAAGAAAGAGAAGAAAAGAAAAGAAAAAAGAACAAATTGCCGAAGAAAAGAAAAAAAGAGAAGGACAGAAAAAACAAATGTTGAACTTTGTTGTGACAGTGGTAATTGGTTTATCTGTGGGATGTGTCATTTGCTTTGTTTGACTGATAGGCGATCTTCCTCTTCCTTTGTCTTTTTTTCTTTGATTGGATCCTTTTTCTCTTTCTCTTGCCTCTGTGAGGTCTGGTTTCCTCCTCCTTTTCTTTACCTCTTTTTTGCCTTTTGGCTGCGTGCAAGTGGGTCACACGGGGATGGGGGCAGCCAGCCCGCTCAACCTGTCATCCACGTGGCTGGCCTCGTACGTAAGAAGAGGTGATGAAGCCGGGCTTTCCTTCCTTATTTCTTTCCTTCACTGAACGACGCAGCGGACTAGGACGACGCGTGTGGGACTACGCCGGTAGCTAGTTGAATGGTATAACGGGAGGGCAAGGCCGTCGGCCCTCTATTCTCAGTTGCTTGGTCGGAAAATCTGGTGGTGCCGCAAGGCGGATCTGTGGAGAAGCCCCCTGAGGAGTGCCAGGAGCGCAGCCTGTCCGAAACGCGTCGGGGAAATTGCGCGTTTTTCTGAGAGCTGTACATGCGGAGAAGAAATGGAAATCTGTTGATGGGTGTATGAGAAGCAGTCTATGGCCACTGTTTTCACTATTCCCCGTAAACCGTAGGCAGAGAGGGAGAAGAGGACAACAAACGAGGGGCTGCGACAAACTGTTTCGTCGGAGTTTCACCGACTCACCTCTTCTCCCTCTCTGCCTACGGTTTACCGGTCTCGTTGTCCTCTTCTCCCTCTTTGCCCTCGGTTTACCGGGCTCGTTGTCCTCTTCACACTCTCTGCCTACGGTTTACAGGGCCGCTCTGTTTGACTATATATACATTGTCACACTGTGAATCTGGCCGGCCTTGTACGTAAGAGGTGATTGATGAACAGGCGGAGCTTTCCTTCCTTACTTATTTCGTTCTTCTGTTTTGTTCTTTTCGCCTTTGCGCTCCGATACACGGTGTGACGATATATATCCGACGAAACAGTTTGTCACAGCCCCTCCTGTTTGACCCTATACAAGAGGTTCTGAACAGGGGGAGTTATAAGGAAGAAGATAAAAAACTGAACAATATATATACATTGTCACACTGTGAATCTGGCCGGCCTTGTACGTAAGAGGTGATTGATGAACAGGCGGAGCTTTCCTTCCTTCCTTCTTTCGTTTTTCTGTTTTGTTTTTTTCGCCTTTGCGCTCCGATACACGGTGTGACGATATATATCCGACGAAACAGTTTGTCACAGCCCCTCGTTTGTTGTCCTCTTCTCCCTCTCTGCCTACGGTTTACCGGGCAGCTCTGTTTGACTTCATATACACGGGGGTGGGGGCAGCCGCCGCTCAACCTACATCCACGTGGGCGGCCTTGCACGCAAGAGGTTCTGAACAGGGGGAGTTGTAAGGAAGAAAATGAAAAACGAATTGATTTTTTTTCTTGTTTTCCTTTTGTTTTTTTCGCCTTTGCGCTCTGATATTTCTGTGACGATATATACATGAGGTTCAGCCTCCTGATGAGTCGGTGAAACTCCGACGAAACAGTTTGTCACACAGCCCCTCGTTTGTTGTCCTCTTCTCCCTGTCTGCCTACGGTT